AAATGTTTTAAATTGTGACATTGTCTGGTTTCCAGAAGATTTGATGAAATAACAAAAACACTCAAGGCATTAATGAATTTTGAACCTACATGGCTATAGATGGGAGAGAATTTCCCTACAGTTGCCAGACTGTCTTTTTCATTCCTAACCTTTTCTTATTTTGAGACATTTAGTTACTGAATGAATCTGCATCCGGCAATTTAGATATAAGTAACAGAAAATCCAAAATATTAAACTACTTTAATTTCATCATTGGAAATATTGATTAATTTTTTTTAGGGTGCAAGGATAAAACTTTGGTGCTAGATATGAAATTTATTTAATCTGTGTCTGTCATTCGGACTCTTGCCATGTTATTTGTGTTTGGGAAATTTCATGCGTATTAGTGGCTTTTTTGTATGTAGAACAGTTTTTGCAGTGACATTTGTCTTTTACACTCTCAATACTTTTCTGTGCTGGCTGGATCATCTTCTAAAATTATGAATTTGTAGTAATATAAAAAGTTATCTATTTCATTTATGGTGTTATAGCTTTGATATTTTTTCTATTTGATTTTTACTTTAAAATTATCCAATTTTGCAGGAAAATTAGACATGCTGTCTAAGTTTTTGAAAGGTGGAAGAATCCTTCATCTTAAAAACTATCCAAGATCTACACATTGCAATGTCCTTGAGCTTATTGGACAATAAGCCTATTCACTGATATGCAGCTCAAGACATTTGTGATGTGTCACCACATCATGATGACCTAGACATACTGCTGTATGAATCTGGTTACAACAGGAGTTTCGAGTTATGTAAGCAGGGAGGAAATTTGAGCAGAACAGAAACACCAACATAAGAGTAAGGAAGTTGGAGCAAGATAAACCATTCAGCCCATTGAGCCTGCTCTGCCATTCAGTAAGATCATGCCCGATCTGGTTGCACTCTTAACTCCACTTTCCTGCCTGTACACATACACTGACAAAGGAGTTCAGTGTTATTTTACAATACATAAGAGAAATTCCACAGTTAGAATGAGTTCTGATAAACAGTTAAAATTTGAATTAAAGGGCTTAATTCTCCCAAATATCCAATGTTGCCTGATTTCGACGTTGCTTCCAATCAAGGACTGTGTGCAGTTGTTAAGCAGGGTATTTTTGTACATCTATCTGGCAGTTAATATTGTTTGTTATTTGACATGAAATTTGAAAAGTGCACCTAAAGTTTAAACACTGAATGTTATGTCACCGGTTTTGTTCACTATTTTCCCCCAAGCTTGAATCTCAACTTTAACATTGCACCATGTATGCCTAAATAGATGGTGGAGGCATGGGATTATCCCTATCGTGAACATTTTCACCATTTACGCAGGAAATTCTATTCCACCAGTTTTTGATGGAATGACTCCTAAATTCCTATGCCTGGTTTATTTCCAATTTGTATATGATGCACTTGCTACATTTGAATCTGCAACCACATGTAGGAATTTTCATACATACCTTAATGGGCTAGATCACACGCTCAATTTCACCTTTGTAATGGAGCACTCCAACACAATTCCATTCTTTGACATGCCAGTTGAGAAATCTGTTAATGGTCTTTACGTCTGTCTGCATACCGTCACTGGTCAATATACAGGGTGGAATTCCTGCAGTTCCACATGGTATAAGATTGGCCTTATCAACATCATTGTGAATAATTCCTGAGCTATTTGCTTACAATGTAGACTTGATGCCGAAATAGGCTGCATCAAAACTATCCTGCAGGATAACTGTTACCTCAATCAGATCATTATTTGCACAAATTCCTGAATGGGCATAAGACCACTAATTTCTAACCTGGAAAGCACGTAGTCTACAAATAGAAAGATAAGGTGTTTCAAATATTTGAACAATAATTGAAGCTAGCCATTTCATGTTGCTACAATGCTGTACAGGTAGTAATATCAGGGGAAAAAAATGTTTAACCAACAAGTGGTTGGAGTTTGCTTCTAGTGTAGTCAACAGAGATTCCACAGCAGCCTTTCAAATTGCAAATATATGGGGAAGAGTAGGGAAATGGATCAAACAAAATTGAATCTGTGCTGGCTGTTAGAAAAAAAAAATGGACCAACTGGCTGCCATTGATGCTGTACTGTTCTATGAGAATTTAGATATGATATTTCATTATTGTTAGGCATAAAATATCACTAGAAAGTGTGGTTAAAGTGAAATCAATTTTGGCTTCTAAAAGAGAATTGGATAAATAATTGTAAGAGAAAAAAAATTAAACAGGTGACACAAATGTCAGAAGAAATGGGGCTAAGTGGATAACTCTTTCAGAGAGCCAGGACAAATAGCCAGCTATGAGATGTAAAATGTTCATCACCGTTTACACGAAGTAAACTGACTTGGCTCTGTTTGAAAAGGGAAACATTGGAAAAGATGTAAAATCCCAATATTAAAACAGTAAGAAAAGTAACCTGCTCAAAATGTTTTTGAGTGCAAGACTAATATGCCAAAGGTACCTTTTGGAATCTCATAACATTCAATGTTGAGAAAACCAGTCTTCGTGTCACTGCAGTCACCATTGTAAATAAATTCCATTGATTGTCTTTAGTTTTCAGAAACCCACCATAATGTATTGCGCCTTTCTTCTAGTATTACAGAACATATTGACTTTGCCACATGCCTGCAAGAACCAGCAGTAGAACCTGTTTGTAATGCTAACCTTCCTGCCAGTATGCACACTTTAGACCATTTACATGGTGTAGCAAGTCGACTAAGTATACATTATACTGGAGAAAGCCAATTGAAGGAGGTAAGCTGAACTGCAAGAAGAAGTCACCTCTATCGTGAAATTTCCCATTCTCTTTACTGATTTATGATATGTTAAATCAAATTTGAAGCTTATAAAGTACTATATTGATCAGCCAAATAATGTATATGTTCTTATATATATGACTAATATATAAAATCCCCAAGTTACCTGTATAACCAAATACAATGCTGCAAAGCAATCAAATTATTCCCAATTGTGTGACTTATTGCAAATCATGCTGTAGTATACATGGTGCAACCTTTTATTGGTCCACCATGACATGATTTTGGATGCTGGGAATAGTTTTATGCAAGACTAAAGTAGAGGTCAGATATCCTTTATAGACACATCCAAAAGCCAAAGGTCTTTCGAAAGCAGCCCCAAATAGATTTGTAAACACGCTGAATTCACATGCTTTGGAAAAGAACTTTGCTTGGTCTGAACAGGTCTAAAAACAAAGCTTTTTTTTCCAATGGGCCCAAACCCAGCATGTCTGTGGGTCTGTTTGGATCCATTCAAGCCCTTGGGGGTGTGGAAAACAGAGTTTTGCTTTAAGGGCCATTCAAGTCCATTTGGACTAAGCTCCTTTTTTTTCCCCAAAGGGCCCGAACAGACCCATAGTGGACCTAAGTGTTTCTTGGTAAATGCAAGTCCTGTGGCCATCGTTATATCCCAGATTCCTTTCCTCTGCAAATAATTATTTATACAAACGTATGCACACAATGTGATTAATAATGGTCGAGTGCAGCCATCACAGGAGGTCATAACCATTTTGAATTATTTGTATAGTAAAACAAAGATCTGTGGAAACTGAAGTTCTGAAACAAAAACAGAAATTGCTGGAAAAAACGTAGCAGGTCTGGCAGCATCTGTGGAGAGAAAGTGGGGTTAATGTTTTGCGTCCAGTGACCTTTGTTCCAAACTGAATTATTTAACTGATTCATTAAGTGAGGTGGCAAAGATTTCCCAACACAGTTGGTAGAACTCAATAGGTCACAGAAACTCTTGCAAGATTCAAAATCCATTTGTTTGATCAGTCCATCTGAAATGTATTCTGTTCTTTGTATTTCCTTAATGTATAATTTGTATAATTCAGCGTTCCGAACAGACACTGTAATTTTGATTTTAAACCCTATTTGCCAGTTAGAACAAGCGATTAAAATTCTGCAAATCTCTTTACTGCCTTTTATCCAAAAAACAAAAATCTCTTTTATTCAAAAAACAGTTGGTCCTGAGATTTTTGGAATAAGGAGATTTATATAAAGTATTGTTATTAAGGTATTTTACAGCTTTTTGAAGTGTATGCTCCCTAATGCATACATTTAAATTGGAATAGATTTAATTGATTCACTTCTTTTTTCATCTAGTAATGGGATATGGGCATTGCCAACTAACCCAACATTTATTGCCTATTCCTAACTGCCCAGAAGGTAGTTAAGAGTCAACCACATTACTGTGAGCCTGGAGTCACATGTAGAACAGAAAAAGTAACAATGGCATATCTCCTTCCATAAAGGACATTAGTAAACTAGACAGGTTTTTACGACAATCACCAGTGATTATATGGTCACCATTAAGTTACCTCTTTTGTTTAAGTTGTTTATTGAATTCCCAGTTCACCTGGGCTTTGAACCCATGTCTGTAGGCATTAGCTTGGGGTTCTGGATTAGTCGTCTCCCTTCCTCTTTCTCTCTCCCTGTCTTCCACCACCTCTCCTTTCCCTCTTTCTTTTATATATTGGATATTGTTAAAGGGGAATTTTTATGTTAGGCCATGTTTAAAGTTTGCATTAGTTTATTGTTTGCATAAGTAGCTTTACAGTGTTTTACAATCTTCTGCTATAAGTGCACTTCTCTTATTTGATATTGGATTGATTATCCTGGAAAAAATAGGTGTGCAATTTAAGTTTAATCCATTTGCAGATGTATTGAGTGAAATGTTCATAGTTTGGGAACTTCAAGAACGTGATAGAGAGAGGGCAATGATATGAGATTAAGAAACCTGTATGAAGAAGTATCCTTACTCGATGAGTGGTAAGAACCTGAGACTTGCTACCACAGGGATTTGTGGAAGTAAATAGTGTAGATGCATTTGAGGGAGTACTGAGCAAGCTTATGTGGAAGAAAGTAATAGCTGGTTATGATGGTAGATTTAAATGGGATAAGGAGGAGGAGGCTCAAGTGCGGCAGAAACATGGACATAAAATTACAAGAAATAGGAGCAGGAGTAGACCATTCAGTCCATTTGAGCTTACTGTGCCTGCAAAAAGATCATGGCTGATCTGGCTGTGGTCTTAACTCTACTTTCCTGCCCCTCCCTCATAACCCTTGATTTCTTTGTTAGCAGGGTTTACAATTTATGAAAAAAAATTCCATCACCGGAGTGACTCTGGTGAAAGGTTATCAACCAAATGCAACGTGAATTGATTGAACCAAAGGGCCTGTTTATGTGCCGTGTCTCCAATGTAATTTCATGTAAAAATTGTTTTTGTTCAAGAACCATATGCAGCACTTAAACAGGGCATTTTGTTTTAACCATGTGGCAATGAATGTTGCCAGTTGTATGACATGAAATTTGAAAAGTTCATCTGAACATCAAACATTGAATTTTTATTTTGTAATTTTATTTGCCATCTCCTCCTCAGTTCTTAGATGCTAAATGTGCAAAACTTCAGTTCTTTGGAGAGATGAGAGAAGTTGTGATTGTCCTCCTTAGAACAGAGAAGGTTATGGGGAAATTAACAAAGGCATTCAAAACTGCTAAGGGTTTTGACAGAGGAAGTGAAAAACCCGCTTACACTGGCAAGGGTATTAATAACCAGAGGATGCAAATAATTAACAAAATGGCAACGGGTGTTGAGAGACAGTGATGCCTTTATGCTAATTTTAACTGTATTAATGGTTCTCTTTCTTTTTACTAACAGGTTTTACAAAATCTAGGCAAAGACAATTATCCATCCCAGTCATTTGAGCAGGTTGGAACACGAATAGCCAAGGTATTAGAAAAAGTAAGTTGCTCCCACTGATTTAATTTTTAATTGCAGTTCTAAGTTGAAATATGATGTCCAAGTTTCAGTTGCCATTCATCCATTCTATTCTACTGAACGTATAGAGAATTGTGGAGCTAATTTAAGATCTGTGCCAAGTATGAAGTTTTTTTGATTGGACCTGCAAATCTTCGGTTTACAAGGAACTCGAATGACTCATTTTCTGTGTACCCAAAATCATAGAATCGTTTACGGCGCAGGAAGAGGGCTGTTCAGTCCATCCAGTCCATGTCAAATCCCAGCAGACCAATTCAGGCAATCCCACTTTCCCACATGACCTCTGTGTTCTGGAAGTTTATTTCCTTCAAATACCTATCTAATTTCTTGCAGAAATCATTGTTCGCACATCCATCATCTATGTGAACGTAAGTTCCAGGTTATTACCACCTGTGTGGAGAAGTTCTTCCTCACATTCTCCTTGTATATCAAAGAGCAAAAAACAGTACAGCACAGGAATAGGCCCTTCAGCCCACCCACATGATGGCTTTCTAAATTAATAATGTCTTGCCGGTATGCAGTCTGTATCCCACTATTCCCTGCCTATTCAAATATCTGTCAGGATGTCTCTTAAATGTTGCTATTGTATCTACCTCTGCCACCTCTACTAACAGCACATTCCAAGCACTTTTCACCCACTGTGTTTAAAAAAAAATCTTGCCTCCACATCTTCTTTAAACTTAGCCCCCTTTTTACCTTAAACCTATGTCCCCTAATATTTGACACTTCTACCCTGGGAAAAAGACTCCGACTATCTATTCTATCCATGCCTGTCATCATTTTGTAAACTTCCATCAGGTCACCCCTCACCTTCGTTGAAGTGAAAAAATCATGCCCAAAGTCTTGAGTTTGTGTCCCCTATTACTTGTACAATCAGTTAATGGGAACGGGTTTTCCACGTCCATATCTGCCTGTCATAACCCTGTACACCTTTATCAAAATCTCCCCTTAGTTTCCTTGCTGTGTGGAGTACCTTCTAACTTTGTCCCTTTCAATATCTCCTGTCATCTTTAAGTCCAAGTTGCCTCTCCCCGAATCTTCTGCCAAAATGTATCATGTTAAGTTACAGAATATTAAAGAAGGTGGGTTTGAATCTGTAGTTTTTCACATGCTAATTTCGGGCTTTTGCTGCACATTAAAACATTAGGTTTCCACACAGCTTCCAATTGATATAAAGCAAGCCAACCTGACCATACGTAACTTTTTGTGGCTCACAGCAGTAATTTAATGATTAGAAGTACTTTCTAATGGTTTCAAATATTTACTTCAGTCCTACTTTACAGATCTGTAGAATATACTTCTATCTAAATACAACAGCATACTAATATAAATCCATCTATGTTCAAAGAACTATTTATAGAAACAGAATGTCCAAATATCGGTTTTATACGTGGAATGAAACCACAGCTTTTGCACATTTATCCTATCAGAATCAAAATCCTTTCAAAATGTTTGATCAGTTCATTATTATGATTTTTATTTCAACAGAATCAAACTTCCTGGGTGATTTCAAGTATGGCTGCACTGTATTGGAGAGTTCGAGGTCAAGGAAAGAAAGCTATTGACTGCTTACGTCAAGCATTACACTATGCACCTCATCACATGAAAGTGAGAAATTCCATATGTAATGTTTTAATGAAACATTGTCAAGCACCTTTTAGTTTGAAAGAAACATAATCTTGGGCAGGAAAGTAGACACTGCATATTTTATTCTTGGTGGGCCTTTGCATTCAGTGTTTATGAAGGTTTAAATGACTTTATCACAATTCCAGAAAAATCATTGATCTATGACTTTCCTTGACACGTAGGTCTTCAGATTTGCACTTGAATTCTCTTTGTTCTACTTTATACTGACTTGTCACCTAAAAATCATGTTGCTGGTTTGACCACTACACTTAATTCAGTTTCTTTCATGTTATTAGTTAGTATGATAAGGTTTACTCGCAGATTGATCTGGTCTTAGATGATCTTTATATTGCTTCTTTCACATTGATGCAAGTCATTTTTTGATGGCCAAGTGGAGTTTAGCTAGGAACTTTGACTTTAAATGCATTGAACCCAAAATTATCAGGTTAAGTAAGTAATTTAGTGGTACTTAGATTTGCATCTAGCCTATTGCAAAAACACATTTCTGATCTGAACCACCACCTCATTACAGTCTTACAGTTATTGGTCATAGGAATACTTAGTCGCATGGTTAGCCAGTTAGCCCCCTTTGCTTTTTCGGTCTTTCATTGTTATCATAGCTGATTTGTAACTTGCCTTTATACCATATCCCTTAATATCTTTGTCATATTAAGAAAGTGTTAGAACATCGATTCTAAATTTGCCTTACATAATCTTGAACCTACAGAATTATAGCTGCCTCAGCATATCTGAAAGCTGTACTTTTTAAAAAATAATTCTGTAATGTGCTAAGTATCTGAAGAAGCCATGCGTTCTCCAAGATGACTTTTTTTAACAATGTAAAAGTCCTATCCTGATTCATTCATTCCTTATGGTTCCTCTGATACCATTATCCATTCACTTTTCTGTTTTCTGCACTGCCTCATGGTCCTGTCCCTTATGTTCCAAGTAGAACTGTTTCAGTACTCCAGCTGCAGCTTGACTCAAACATTCTAGATACCTCTAAGATTTAAATGCAGCTGATTTAACAGGGTAATATGGTGACCAGCAAGTAAACTAAAAATATTGCTGTGCTTGAGGCTAGAGGAGTGTACTATTGCAGTAGTCCCAGTACTTCACACGTCACATCATAAACTAAAAGCAAAATATTGCTGATGCTGGAGGTCTTAAATAAAAACAGAAAGTTCTGGAGAAACTCAGCAGGTTTGATAACATCTAGAAAAGAGGAAAAGTTTTTTTTTTAAAAAGTGTTAATGTTTTCAGTCTAATATGAGGTATATTGTTACTGCCAGATTGCTCAGTTTCTCCTGCATATCCTATTTTTATATAAAATTAAAGTATTTTTCCAATACCAATATGACCGATATTACTTTTTCTGTATCAGGCTTTAAACATTAGATCTATCTTTTTTAATATGCGTGATTCTTCAGGACTAGAAACAAAAAATATATTTCTCTACAAACATGGACTTTCTGAAAGAAATAACACTTTAGCCAAAGGATTGTCCTTGAAGGCAAAAAGATAAAGCATAGAATGTTCAGGCATCTGTTCCTCTGATGTCCTGACATGGGTGATCAAGTCACTAATCATGCATGGTTGTCTCTGAAGCTTTTCAGATACAGCATGCTTAGGAAATATGACTTTAAGATTCTTCTTCAAACACCCATTCAAAAGAATAGAGATTTCACCCTAAATTCAACAAGACAGTTTTCTTATCAGAAATTGAAAGATGGTAGCTGGGGAGCTTGTTTTGAGTAAGCTTTCCTCCAGCTCTGTTTTTAGAAGGCTTCCTTGCAACTGAACTAGATTAATGTTATAAAACAGAGGTTGTCCCCCCACCCTCTGATAACTAAAACCGAAATACCAGAGGAGCTTGCCTTGCCTCATAATCTGTTCAAGGAAATGTGAAAAGTGGTATAACCTGCCTCTCACCCTCCCCCACCAATCAGTTATAAAGGAAAGGTTAAGTGAAATGAACTCTTGACAGTCATTCTATAATCAATAAATAACATTTTATCTAATTCTGACAGTGAACAAATTAACAGGACTACTAACAAACCAAAGAATTCCCTCTTAACTACTGACTATTCCTGAATAAAACAAAATTCAAATAGTATGTTGTTCCAATAGATGCAAGTACCAATTATATAAACAAAAATAATAAAAAATAAATTTAGACTTAATCTCTCGAAATTACAGCCAGGATAAGTCTTCTGGAATGCTCCACACTCTTCCACTGATCCTCAGTCAGGAACGCTTGTCTCTGTTAAATTCTTGTATCAGGAATATTAGCTAAGAGTGCCACTGTACCTTTAGTTCAGATGATGGTTTTCTGAGAGCTTAAAGAATTCTGTGAGAGCCAGTGATTCTTTCTTTTATAGTTGAGAGCTGTTCTCATGGCAGATGACAGTTAACTGTCATACTGATTTTCAAATGCCCTCTTCTTTTATACCCTTGATGACCTATTAATTTCTTATAATAGAATTGGTCCCCTAGGTTGTTAAAACCATCAGATTTAAATTTAATTGGGTTTTGGTATCTAGGGCCTGGTTTAAATTAATTGGCTAAATTCAAAATCCTGTTGTCTTACTACAAATGCTGCTTTGCTTGCTAACAGCATAGCCTTTTGATACAGAGTTTCACTTCCAAGAACTCTGTGCATCAGCTGCTGCTTACAGACTTATTTTCCCAAAGACCAGAAAAAACACATCAGGGACCACACACTCTTCACATTTTACAAACATCAAATACTGTACCCAACTTTGTAACAATAAAAAAGACACAAAAACCCTCTCCACCACTCACTGATCAAAACTGATTTGTAATAGTCTATAACACGCAGTCATCACCAGTCATCTGATTTCTAAGAAGCCTTGTTTGAGGAAAATCACCAATGTCCACAGTGGACTTTCAATGACTTCTTCTAAACCATTCCAGATATTTCCACAACGCTTGAACTTCACCCATTTTTGCAATCCTTTAAAACTTAAGTTTTCCACTCTCTCGTAACATACCTTAGTGTCTCTCATTCTCATTTTTATTTCTCCTTTTAATTCTAATATTCAGTGAAAGTTCATCTGCCACCAGCCCAGATGAAAAGCCTAAAGCATTCTGTAAAGACTAGCTGCAGGGATCCTATGAATCCACAATCTCCTTAGATAGTGGTCTTCATTGAGAATAGAAGCAATGATTTCAAAAGTTTGGAGATTACACACAATGCAGAAGTATCATGAACATTGGGGATTTAACAGACCTAAGGAGCACATACGATAAGTCCCTGTTTTAATTTGCTTTGCTTTGACGTCATTTAATGAGGCATGTGTTCTTGGTTTGCATCATGAGTTTTGTTTTAAAAGAAGTTTCATCGCAGCGTAGAGTAGGATTGTGACACCAGATTTGCGCCATTTTGAAGTGGCATTTGTCTCATCCTCTGGTTGCTGACCTTCCAATACCACAGCCTTTGCTGGTCTCTAACCCACCCTCTCATTGTTGACTGTTGAAGCTGTCCTTCTCATTTAAACCCCTTGCTCACAGTAAGAGTTCAAGATGGGGAAGTGGTGGGCAGAAGTTTTGGGAAGCAAAATCATCTGCAAGTGGAACCTAAGTAGAAAGTTAGCATATTAATTTTGTATTTTATGTTGAATGTTTTCTAATTTAGAATCATGGAATAGAATCCCTTCAGTGCAAATAGTAGCCATTTGGCCCACTGAGTCTGCACTGACCCTCCAAAAGAGATCCCACCCAGACCCACCCCTCCCCACTTCCCATAACCCTGTATTTATCATCGTTAATGCACCTTGCCTACACATCTCAGATGCTACGGGGCGATTTAGCATGGCCAATCCACCTAACCTGCCCATCTTTGATGTGTGAGGAAACGGGAAGATCTAGCGGGAACCCATGCAGACATCCGGTGAATAGGGAGTTCTTCCAGGAACAGCGGGTGGTGGTAGGATGGGGCTAGAACTGGGCTAGGGGTGTGCCACAGCAGCAGGATACATATTAATGAAACGGATTTGGTAAGATTCGCTGAGAGATTTTGGGCAACTTCACATAGAGAAGTCCCCTGTGAAACTTGAACAAATTGGAACATAGCCAAAAAAATGCTAGATTCAGCCCAATGTCTTTATTAGCAATATTCAAGTTCAGTGCCACTAAATAAATGTATATTCACTTGTGATTTGACTAAGATTTGCAACTCCTAGCTTCAAAAGATTGAATATTTATGATTTAAGACTTAAACCTGTTTAATTCTTCATCTGCAAATAAAAATTTTAGCTCTAACTACCATGCCAACCTTAACTACTTTTTCAAACTTCCTAATGCTACTATTAAACTGAGGAGACTGTGTAGCTTTACTGTTATCCACCAAACCTTGTACAGGATTCACAAGGTGTTGAGCCTTTGGAATTGTGAAAATCCAAATTAAAACAATAAACGTTTGAAAATGCATGATATGAAATTATACCAAATTCACAATTACACCCCCCCCAAAAGATAAGATATTTTAATATTCATGGGATTTTCTGACTAAAGGTTTTCAATCTAAAACTATTTCTGTCTGCAGTTGCTGTTAGATTTTGCTGTGTATTTTCAGAATTTCCTGTTTTATTCTAAATTTCCATAATATGTAATATTTTAACTTTTGTGATGGTGCTTCCCTTATTTTTGGAGACTTTCTTTGATATTCAAGTTTGCTGGTTGCTTAGGATCATCTCCAGTAGATGATGTAATATTGAGATGCAGTAAACTAGACTGAAACATCTTATCAATTCCTTCTTTAACTTGTTTTATTCTTTTTGAGCAGGATGTGCCTCTCATTAGTTTGGCAAATATTTTTCACAATGCTAAACTATGGGATGATGCAATCATCGTCGCTACTATGGCAGTGGAAATTGCCCCCCACTTTGTTGTCAATCACTTTACCCTGGCTAACGTCTATTTAGCAATGGTAAGTAACAGTAGTTCGAACATCTCTAATGGTATATTGGTAGGGCTGAATTTCTGCTTGTATTGACTTCAGCAGGCTTCACATTTTGCATGAAATGAAATCTCCTTTGGAATGCATGCAGATTTTTCAGGAACTATCATGAACAGGAGGTTTTGTTTTGCATGTAAGTGATGTACACCATTAACCCTCTTTGCAGTTTTAAATTTTGAAAAACTTTGAGATTTATTTAACAATGGTCCCATTAGTTGCAATTTCTGCTTTGATTATTAACATGTGTTTCTCATTGCATTTGTGTGAGACCCACACTATATCTCGAGGTTAACAATGTCCATGTGAATGCAATCCATTTTTTGAAAATTGTATGTATAAGCAGACTGCAACATGAAATACAAATCCATTTCACCACCTGGCTGAAACTGACAGCCTTAGCTGTTAAAGCAGCCCCTGCCATGTAGTAAATATCTGAAGTTAATAACGCTATCATGAAAACCATTGTGTGCAAAATAGGATGCTTTAACTACACTTTGCATTGAGCTTAGTTCAAGGTCAAAGTGAGACGACTGAACCACAGAAAGTATGACATTTGGGGACAAAGGAAAGCAATTCACAAAGCAATCACCTAATTCACCTCCCCCAGCCATAATATGAGCAGCAAATAGGAAATGCATGTAACTAGGAAATGCATTTTTCAACTAGAAAAGTTACTTGTAGTTGAGCAAGTTAATCCAAAGTGAATTGGTAAATTGGAGACAAAATTGGTTTGGTCATAGAAGATAGAGGATAGTTGTAAAGAGGTGATTTTCCGACTGGAAGTGTGTGACCACTGGTGTTCCACAAGGAACCTCTGTTGTTTTTAATATGTATATGTAAATTATTTGGATGAAAATGTAGGTGGTCTAATTAGTAAGTTTTCAGATGTCACAAAATCTGGTGGGATTGTGGATATTGAGGAAGTTATCAAAGAATACAGCAGGATATAGATTGGTTCAAACGTTGGGTGGAGAAATGCAGGTGGAGTTTAATCTGGACAAGTATGAAGTGATGCATTTTAGGAGGTCAAATGCAAAGGACAGTATACAGTAAATGGCATGATCCTTGGGAGCATTGATAAACAGAGGGATCTTGGGGTGCAAGTCCATAACTTCCTGAAAGTGGCAACACATGGATAAGGTGATAAAGGCAGCATATGGCATGTTTGCCTTCATCAGTTGAGACATTGAGTATAAAAGTTGGCGAGTCATGGTCCATTTACCTATCCAAATGTTTTTAAAATGTTGCTATTGTACCTGCCTCAGCCACATTCCATATATGCCCCTTCCATATATTCATCACTCTCTGCATGAAGAAGTTGCCTCTCAGGTCCTTCTTAAATCTATCCCCTCTCACCTTAAACCTGTGCCCTCTAGTTTCAATTTCCCTTTGGTTAGGCCACGTTTGGAGTATTGTGTGCAATTCTGGGAGCCATCCTATAGGAAGGATATGGAGGCTTTGGACAGTGTACAAAAGATGTTTACCAGGATGTTGCCTGCATTGGAGTGTATTAGCTATAAGGATAGCTTGGACAAATTTGGATTGTTTTCGCTAGAATGTCAGAGGCTGAGGGCTAACTTCAGGACTTATGAAGTAAATGATAAGGTCCTGAGTGTGTTGTGGAACAGAGGGACCTAGGAGTACAAGTACATAGTTCGTTGAAAGCGGCATCACAGGTGGACAGGATGGTGAAGAAGGCATTTAGCATGCTGGACTTCATCAGTTGAGGCATTGAGTATAGGAGTTGGGATGTTATGTTACGGTTGTATAATTCATTGGTGAGGCCGCACTTGGAGTATTGTGTACAGTTTTGGTCACCCTGTTATAGGAAAGATGTGGTTAAACTGGAAAGTGTGTAAAGAAGATGTACGAGTATGTTGCCAGGACTAGTTGACCTGAGTTACAGGGAGAGGTTGGCCAAGAAAGGACTGAATTCCTTGGAACGTAGGACAATGAGGGGTGACCAATGAGGTGTATAAAATCATGAGGGACATAGGATGAATGCATGTAGTATTCTTCCCAGGGATGGGAAATTGAAACTAGACGGCACAGGTTTAAGGTGAGAGGGGATAGATTTAAGAAGGACCTGAGAGGCGGGCAACTTCTTCATGCAGAGAGTGGTGCATATATGGAATGTGGCTGAGGCAGGTACGATAGCAACATTTTAAAAACATTTGGATAGGTAAATGGATGGTAAGTGTTTAGAGGGATATGGACTAAATGTGGGCAATTGGAACTAGCTGAGTGGGCGCCATGGTCAGCATGGACCAGTTTGGGCTGAAGGTTTCCATGCTGTATTACTCTGTGATCTGATAGGAGTATATGAAATTATGAGAGGTGTGGATAATTGCAAACCTTTTCCCAGGATAGAAATGTCAAATACTAGGGGGCATAGGTTTAAGGTGAGGGGCGAATGTTTAAAGGAGATAAGAAGCAAATTTTTTACACAAAGGGTGGTAAGTGCCTGGAACGCACTGCCAGAGGATGTGGTAGATGCAGATATGATAGCAATGTTTAAGAGCCATTTAGGAAGGCAGATGATCAGGCAGCGAATAGAAAGATATGGACTATTTGTAGGTAAATGGGATTAGCTTAGAATGGCATCATGGTCAACGCAGACATGGTGGGCTGAGGCCCTGTTCCTGTGCTGTACTGTTCTATGTTCTATGATGTGAAGGCTTTAGAGAAGGTGCAGAAATGTTTTATGAAAATGTTTCTAGCAACAAAGAATTTAAGTTATGAAATAATGTTTTCTTTGTAGAAAAGAAGGCTAAAATTAAAGTATTCAAAATCATGAAGGGTTTGGATGGAGTAAGTCAGGAGAAATTTCTCAAATGAAAGGATCAGGAATGAGAGAGCACAGATTTAATGTTATGACTAAAAGATACAAAAGCGATGAGAGGAGAAACATTTTCATGCAGACTGGAAGGCATTATAAGCAGGCTTTGTGGGGTAAAATTGCCAGGACAGGAGTGTGTAATATGTTCTTGGTGAATCAGTAACCTATTTTATACAGCACATGATTCTTGAGTCTTTTCCAGCTTAATTTTGACTTAATTTTGCCCAATTGTCTATTATCTCATTCTACTTTGGTACTTGTCTATCAGGTTTTTTGTGGAATTAGTAGATGTTGAAAAAATATGTTAAGTGAGAAGCAGCAATCAGCAAAATCTTCAGATTTACTGCTCAAGCAAGTGCAGACACAATTGTGAACCATTCAGTCTTTGTCCTCTGGCCCCTTGCAAGTTTTATTGTGTAAAGGTACCTGAAGGCTCCCAACCTCTCTCTGACAGTGAGACCTATGTTGTTCAATCATTCCACATTGTTGCTCTGGAGTCATTTGATCTTCTACCCTGGGAGATTACTGATGAAATAGAATCCAATTACCTTCTTGTACAAAATAATTATATTGAATAATATCGTGTATCCAGGCTGGAGAAAGTAGTCTACATCTTGCGCAAGTATTCTTCTCTCAATATGAATTCACTGTTACCATGTATTTATGTCGCAATGTGTAGAGCATGTTAATGAAGCAGTCACCAAAATCCATGTTATAGCTAATGGGATAGTTTTCTGTGAAATTAACAATATTGCACCATGCTGTTAGAGTAAAATTTATATCCTCTGGTTTGTTTAATACTTGCAGTGGGATCACCTCTAGGGCTCGCACCAACTATCACTGAATTATATAATTGGTGCTCTTGATATTAATGACCCATGCTGCATATGCAGTGGTTGATATTTGTAATCAGATGCCAGTAATGAACATTGTCATTTTGCCAGGACGTTGCTGTAATTATTGGTAAATCTTGAAAGGAAATCCTGAGATTGTGGGAGTGGGTTAATGGGGGACAGAGAATTGGGAACCTGGGCATAGGAAAAGCAGCAGGCCCCATGGTATTTCTTTCTCTTTGGCCTTGATTGGCGGTCATGGTCAGTATAGGAAACTGTAAATGAGCAAGTATTATCTACTGTAGTTATACATGAAGTTACTAGGGAATGTTAAGTAATGTAACGGAATTGTGCTTCCAGGAAGTAGAATGGGGAGAAAGCAGATGATTTTTTGAATGCAGCAGCTGATGGAACAAAACAAAGACCTGCAAGACAAAGTAAGAGCAGAAGCCTAGGAAACAGAACACACATAATCAAATAACCTGTGCGGAAGAAAACTAGACTGAAACTAGCTAGATGAATAAGCAGTCATTTTGAAAGTTTTGCTATGGCAGCGTCACCAGCACAGACGTGATGCTGAAACTAAAAGAACAGAAGGGAGACATTGAAACAAAATGGATTGGGGAAAAACCTAACACTATCGCAGGTAGTGTATGTTGTTCAAAAAGCCTACTGCTGGAAATAAAGAAAAGTACCTCCAAGGAGGAAGTAGAAGACAAAGGGACCATCTAAAGGCTAGAGAAAGTTAAAAGCTGGAGGCAGAGCACTGTAAGTTAGATTTCCCAAATTGGAGTGAGAAAGAGCATTCGTGTCAAGACTGTAAATGATGTCATGCAAGACCTTTTTGAGTATTATGGAAAAGAGGGAGCAAGAGTATTTCATTCAGCCCCTCAAGCCTGCTCTACCATTCCAGATCACAATCTACTTCAGTGCCATTTTTCCTGTGCTAACACCATATCCCTCTCCATCTCTGTCTGAATATATTCTGACTCAGCTTCCACATCCTTTTGGTGTAGAGAATTGCAAACTACTTTGAGTTAAGAATTTGCCCCCTTTGAATCCAAAATGCTTTCCCCTTATTCTGCATCTCCTGGTTCTAGATAGCACTTCCAGTATTTAGTCATCCAGCTGGTTGAAACCGAACTTACTTGGTTTAATTCTCATCTGTCAAACCGTAGCCTGAGCACCACTTTAAGTTGCTTCCTGCACCATTACATCTAGCAGTTCCTGTGGATCTAGCCTCAGCCCCACTTATTTCTTAACTACATACTTCTCGACAATGTTAGCTGAAAATATAATGTCAGTTTTCACGAATAAGCTGACACCAATACACTCTGTCATCACTAACTTTCTCGACTCTTCTGTCTTTAAATGATCAAACTGCTTGCCCATTTTCCAACATTGAATGAATTGGGAAGACCAAACCCATTGTCTTCAGTACCCTGTACAAATACCATTCCCTAGCTACAGACTTCCCTGGTAACTTGAGTCGAAAGCGGATTGTTTAGAATCTTGCTATCATAATTGAGATCGACAGAGGGCAGCATAGTCACAGAGACGTTCAAATAGTCTTGTTAAAAGCACGAAAAGATGATTCATTGTTCTCAAGCTGTTAAAAATTGTTCTATCTTCCTCATAGGAAGACTACGAGAAAGCAATGCAATGGTACGAGTCTACTTTGAAGCTACAACCAGAGTTTGCACCAGCTAAAGATCGTCTTCGCACCATCCAGTGCCATTTGTTAATGAAAAAGGAGAGGCGCTCTCCATAAGGCTTAACACCGTTACCATTAGACACAATTATCCAGTTCCTGCTTCAGACCGTTTAAAATGGTGAACACCTAGTTTAATTAAGGGAGATTTCATTTGTGAGAATTTAATAGATGGAATATGAAATGAGCTATGGAACAAAGCTTTAAAAAAGTATTGTAACTATCACACCATAATATAATTACTGGAAAGAAAAAATAAATTACATTACAAACAGATTACAGCAGTATTGAATTTGTATTTCAAATGATAATGTACAAAACTTTAAATGGTTTTCAAAATGCTTTGTGTATGCAGATCAAGTCAGGAAACTTCTAATTCCTTTTAGGAAATACTGGGGACCTTTGTGAAGGTGGAACAATAAATCATTTCTTAATGACTGAGTTTTATTTTGTATTCTTGTGCACATTTGTGTAATACTTGTAAAATCCTGTAGGTGCTACTCATGACGTAAAAAACTTGTTTTTATAAAATAGATATAGATCCCATTTTCTAAAATGTATAGTTTATACCATTCACTTAAAATTCAGAAATACTGCTAACAGTCTTTAGATTTTATTTAATTTTAGAAAAACCTTGGTTTTCACAATGAGGTGCAACGTACAAAATAAGGAGTAAATTAATGCAGAAGTGAAAGTTGCATTGTTTTCTGCTTAAATTCTTGATACTTAATTTACAGAAAAAAACAGACAATTCAGGGATTAAATATAATGTGCCATGATTAGCTTTGAAACAGTATAATCTCAAAAAATACAATAATTTACTTAAGGAAAGGTCCAAATTTCTTAAACTTCAACAAATGCATGATAGTTATTATTTAGTAACTTGTGCTGTAAGTTTGGTGTGGTAGTAGTTGAACAGAATCAATCTAACCAGAAGAGTTATCTTCATATTAAGCTTTGAATATTGTTCTTAGACTGCAATTGTTTTTTCTTCCTCTGGTTGCGTGAACAGTAATCATGTTAGCTTGAGGCAACAAACATTGTTACTGATGACACTTAATTGGCAGTGCGGTGTTTAATTTTTCCTTATTGACTTCACTCCAAATTCTCTCTCCTTCAGATGATACTCTTAAACTACTCTTAAAAGTGCACAGTATTCTATCAAGCTTTATTTAGGAATAAATGAATTCAGTTTTCCCTTCTATTCATTTTGATTTTACCATAAAGCAACTTATTTTCTTCTTTTTAAAATCTGTCATGTTAGTAGTAAATCATTGTTGCTTTACCCATGTGAATACATTAAGAAAAAACATGCAGAAAAATTTCCTATATTTCATGGCTGTGTGTTGTCAACTGCAGGTAAAGGGAACTGGTTGAGAGACAAGAGGACTATTCAGGTCATAAAATCTTTCCATCTAGAGATTGTAGATAGTTATTCCAAAGGTGAAAAGAGAGGCATGTTGCCAAAGCTTTTTCTCTTGCACTCATCGAGACTAATGCAAAAATGCCAAAATTTCAAACAACCACGTCATCTCCTGGAACAGATACTGTTGTGATGATCCTTGCATTCTCGTATTTATCACTGATGTGCTTCAGCAACACATTATTTTCAGCAGAATTGTTGAATTGCTGATTCCCACCTTCCACCCCGCCCCCCCAAAACAATGTATATCACTACCTGTTAATCTCTAAGTTCAAGGAATATAAAATTCCTTCTGAGTAAAGGGAACAATCAAGCAAACATATTAATGTCAAAAACAGAAATTGCTGGAAAAGCTCAGCAGGTCTGGCAACATCTGTGGGGAGAAATCGGAGTTAACACTTCGAGTCGAGTGACCCTTCCTCAGGACTGATGAGGAAGGGTCAGTTGACCCAAAACGTTAATTGTGATTTCTCTCCACAGGTGCTGCCAAACCTGCGAGGCTTTCCAGCAATTTCTGTTTTTGTTTTTGATTTACAGCATCCGCAGATCTTTTCAGTTTTTAAACCTATTTATTTTTCTGAGATACTTTTTACTTTTGATACATTTATGCAACCAAAAGCACAAATGCTTCTCCCACAAATTAAACTAACAATATGTACAGAGAATTGAAATGAGGAGGAAATAATTACCTGAGATTCTAGATGAGTGGCTTATTTAATGACATCCAGATATTAACATTTATTTTCCCAGCAAATCCTAAGAAATTGAGTTTAATGTGCATGCCATTAGTCCTGTATTCAGAATTGTGTAGTTCTGATGAAGAGAAACGCTAAGTTGCAAGTTGCCAAATGATTTCCACCATTCCAATTTCATTTTATTCCAGGTAATTTGGGCTTTGCAGGCTTGGGCAGTATTTATTGCCCACCCCAAGTTGATCTTCAGAAGGTGGTGGTGAGCTACTTTCTTGAACTGCGGCAGTCCATTTCATGTAGGTAGAGCCACAGTGCTGTTAGGGAGGGAATTCTCAGACATTGACCCAGTGACAGTGAAGGAACAGCAAGATATTTCCATATCAGGATAGTGAGTGGCTTGGAGGGTAACTTACAATCACATAAACATGAACAAGAGTAGGTCACTCAGTCCTTTGAGTTTGCTCTGCCATTCAATCAGTCATGGCAAATCCAATTTTAACCCCAATTCTGCATTCCTGTGTATTCCTGATGATCTTTCATCCCCTCAGTAATCTCAAATCTATCTACCTCTACCTTTAACGATATTTAATAGTTCTGAATCCACTGTCTCGAGGAAGGGAATTCCAAGGAATCTTAACTCTTGCAGGTGGATGGAGTATTCCCTTGTATCTGCTGCCCTCTCCTTCCAGATGGTACTGGTTGTTGGTTTGGAAGGTGCTGTCTAGGGAGCAATGGTGAATTTCTACATTTTGTACATAGTAGCAGTGAGCGCTGAACATCAGTGGTGGCAAGAGTGAATGTTTGTGGATGATATCAAGCTTCTTACATGTTGTTGGAGCAAGTTCAGTTACACTCCTGATTGTGCCTTGTGGAAAGTGAACAGGCTTGGGGAATCAGGATGAGTTGCTCATTATAAAATTTGCTCTTGTAGCCACAATATTTACATGGCTTGTCCAGTTTAGTTTTTGGTCAATGGTAAGTAAGCCCCATAATATTGAAAGTGGGGGATTCAGTTTCAAGGTGCACTGGTTAGATTCTCTCTTATTGGAGATGATCATTGCCTGACACTTTGTGGTGCAAATATTACTTCCTACGCATCAGCCCAAACCAGAATACCATCTAGGTCTTGCTGTGTTTGATCAAGGACTCCTTAAGGCAGAGTTGCAAATGGTCCTCAACATGGTGCAGTCAGTGAATATCCTCATTTCTGACCTTATGATGGAGGGAAAGTCATTGAAGAAGCAGCTGAAGATGGCTGGTTCCCTGCAGAGATGTCCTGGAGCTGAGAGGACAGACCTCCAACAGACACAATCACTTTCCTTTGTGCTCAGCGGTGGAGAGCTTTCCTCCTCAAAATGGAAGAATGCCTTCAATCTCACTATAGGTTCATTAAATTGCTGCATTTATGCTGTTAACACAAATTAAAATCAAAAATTTCAAAATTAAAACTTTCACACTTCTCACTCCAGTCTTATCCTTAACAGCAGAATGAGAGAAAACAAATCTAACTATCATGTTAAGCCATGAATGTCCTACTTTAGAAAAGTTAAGGACAGTAACGTGAAGGGGGAGTATCTTTATACGACTATTATTTCTCAGAACTTTGTACTCTGGACCTGCCACAGAGATGAAGTGATAAAGGTTCTACATATTTTTCCAGAAATATTTTGGAAATCCTATAGCAGTAGACTTAAATTCATAGTATAATTTAGATGGGCAGTAAGTGATTACTGATCCAAATGCAAAGGGATTCTTCAATCAAAAAATAATAAAAAGAACTATATGCTAGTGCAGTGGTTCACAAATTGGGGTCTATACATTCCTCTGGCCTGACTCATATCTTTTACAGGGTCTTCAAAAGAATCCTCCTCGAAGATTAGCGTGATGGAACTTAAGGGGGACATAGAAAAGGAAAAGAAGCCAAAGTGGCCACTTAGTATGAATTAATGTTAATCATTCCCAATTTTAGGCATGTTTTGGCTACAGAACTGTCAATTGAAATAGAACATTGCCCAGAAACTAATCCTGTTCACAAACTTCACACATTGATTAAACTGATAGGCATGTCTCTCTGTTGAGACAGAATGCACAACTGATCTTTTTAAAAAGATTTCTAATAATGAATTTTCGGATGTAATAATGTAGTACTTTTCTGAAAACTTTGACCTCTTGGAAATTAAATAAGCCACTAATGAGATTTATAAACCAACTTCAATCCATATTATTTGTTTTCTCCAATAAAAGTGACTCATGACTTTTATACCAAATCTGTTCAATTTTTAAAAGTATCTGTGTAATTTGAATAGTGAGATTGGTAAATACAGTTGAGTGTAGACTTACCAAAAAAAACTAACATTTTAAATCAGTGTCAATCCACCACCTGTGAGTGACCCTATTTCAATTACTGATAATGACCTCTTTGTTGTTGGGTAGTGGTCAGTTTCGCAGTGTATTATGTTTGTAAAAAAAATCAAGGCCATTGAAAATATGCTCATTAGAATCCTTGTGCTCAGTAGTTCTAGCTTCATTTTTATAGCATTCCTGCAGGACTGCAAATGATCAAAGTTAGTGGAAACTCTTAATTCATCCAGGGGTGGGGACTGCTGTAAGTGTGGTAATGTTACAAACTAGTGTAATAGATTACTGAAACTCAAGTTATGCTGATTACAAGTTGTGCTTAAATTTCTGTAACCTTTTTACCAGTCATTGCTGATATCAGGGACATTGTGGCATTGAAAAACAATACAATTAAGTGGGAACTCCAGGCCTTGATCTTGTACTGCAGATACTAATATATTTTCTTCCACTTAATGTTAAACGAGTAGGTTGCTCATTCCTGGATTCAGTCTAAATCCTTTTTTGAATCCGAATCTGCTCCCTACCAATCTCCTGGAAGGTAGAAAACAAAACTATTTTTATTCTTCATTTATGCCTAAACTCTGATGAACAGCAGTGATATTTGTTTGACCCCACTGCTACAATCTTAGTACAATTCCTTAAGCTTTCCATTTTAATACAAACCAAATTTATGGGATGAAGATTCAATCCCAAACAGTTAAAGGCCACAGAATAGTCTATAAATTGGCTATCCCAATGAAAAACCACAGAAAGCCTGGTACAAAAACAAGGTGCTAAAATTATTTATTCACAGTCTATTTGTTTTAATATAAGGTCTTGTGCAGTAGATAGCGACCTTCCTCTGGGTGACAAATTCCAAGTTTGTATCTCACTCCAGGACTTGATAGCTTTGGAAGATATGTTTGTAATATGATCAAACAGGTTGATCAACATGCAACTTCTTCCAATATTCCTACGGCAGGCAGTAAGAGTGT